TCTAAAAATATTTTAAGGTTTTGATAATGTTCTGATTCCATTTTGAATAATTGATGCTAGAATACTGACTACCTAGACTGGATTGCTTTTAATGTTGGGTTTAAATATTCAAATATAATAGTCTAGTAAAGGGAAAAGTCAGGTGTTGTTCACCAAACAGAATTACAGAGATGTGTGGGTAAAAGGTTGTTATATTCATCCAAAAGATATTAAGAAGATGTTTCTAAGAGAGGTAACCACCAAGATATATTTATTAAAAGATAATTGGTTTGGATAGTATAGTAATTAATTTGAATGTTTGTAACAGGTTGTTGTATGTATAAATTTTCAAGTTGTTGTCCAAATAGAGGTTCAAAAGAGGGAGGTTCATAGAAGCAAGGTAAGGTTTTATCGATTTCTTCCCATTGTTCATTATCAAATATGCTCCAATAGCTTTGTCCAACAATTTCACTAGGGTATTGTTTAATACTTTTCTACAATTGGAGTTGAGTATAGCAGAAAGAGTATTTATCACAAGGACTATACATTTTAGTTCTACACCAACATTTAGTACAAGGACCTTTCCAATCTCTGACAAGTCCTTTGCCTTTGATATTATTATTATTAAATCTATTGCTAATGTATTCAAGATAATACTAGGTACAAGATTGTCCATCATAGAAGATTCCATTATGAGAGAAGGTTATTGTAATATAAGGTCTAATTCCATCAGGAAAATTAGAAGAGAAGTTATCTTATAGAGTTTTCTCTACTTTAGCAAGGTCTTCTAAAGTTTGGATTCCTTTTTGAGGTTCATTTTTATTATTTTCTAATGAGTTTTCTTCTAGGAGAGAGACAGTATCACTCCAAGGGTTTAAATCATTATCTTCATTTTCTAAGAAGAATAAGTATAAGTTAGGTCTGATGACCTAGTATAGTAGTTAGAATATCTAACTACTATGTAATAGGTCTGAAGTTCAAATCTTATTATTAATAAATTTTAATAATTTTTTAAATCTTGTAATATGTTATAGTAAACCCTGTTTATTTCTGAAGACATACTCTTATAAATTAAGTTATACTAAATTAATTTAAACTTAAAATTGTAATATAATATTATCTAGTAGTTAGATTGCCAGATCTCCATACAAGAGGTCTGGGGTTCAAATCCTACTGTTGACGAATTTGAATAATTACTCAAATTTTTGTACCCAACTTACAGTAAACCCTGTCTGTTTTTGAGGGTTGTAACCCTGTAAATCATATTGCACCAATATTATTTGGATATTGGAAATGTGATAAAGTACATAACATTACACAAATAAATCTTAATAGGATCTATGGGCAGGGGATCTGCATGGTAGTAATCTCGAGTTAGTGAAGTAGTATGGCTTTCGACAGTTATACTAGCTAATACTTAATTTGGAAAAGAAACTGTCGCTCTGAAAATATAGATCAAGTTGGGTGCAAGTAAGTCTGTTCTATAGGGAGAATTGGCAACACCAACCTGGCTTGGCAGCTAACTAAATTAGGAGGATCTATCTTGTAAAACATTTGAAGAGATTAGTAAACAGAAAACTGGTAGAGAGCTATGGTAGGAACTGAGATTATATGAACATCACAAGGGTACAAATTCATAGATGTCTATGAAATGGGCATAGACTACCTCTTAGTAGAGGTTATGTCTGTAGGTAAAGTAGCCCTTAGTCTCGATCATAACTGTATTTGAGTGGTATTACAAAATGTTAAAATCAGAGGACTTAAATAGCTTTACAGAAATATTGATTTTTTAAAAATATGTTTAATATATAATAATAAGCTCTGTTAACTATCTTGTAAGAAACTGATTTTTAACTAATAGATAGCTTTTAAACATATAATAAATATATTATAAACATATTATAAATATATTATAAAATATATATAAATAAATTATAAATATATCTTAATCAGATTTTAAATATATATTTGATATATAATAATAAGCTCTGTTAATTATCTTGTAAGAAACTAATTTTTAACTGATATATGACTTTTAAATATATAATAAATATATTATAAATATATTATAACTAGAATTTAATATATTACAAACAGATTTTAAACATATTATAAATAAACGTTAAATATATTATAAGTAGATATTAAATATATCGATATTAAAACAGATTATAAATATATTACAAATAAATTATAAACAGATTTTAAATATATTACAACCGGATTTTAAATATATTACAACCAGATTTTAAATATATTACAACCAGATTTTAAATATATTACAAATAAATTATAAACAGATTTTAAATATATTACAACCAGATTTTTAAATATGTTAAACAAAATTTAAATACATTACAACCAGGTTTTTTATATATTACAAACAAATTATAATATATTATTTAGTGATACGGGTCGATGAAAATTTCTTGGGCCAGGATCGAGGCCAAAAAAACTCGAGTGAGTCCAGGTCAACCTTTCTAATAGAGTTCAGTTTCGAATTTCATCGTATGAGAATCACTAAAATATGTGAAGAAAAGAGGAATTATTAATGAAAAATATGAAAAATAGATAAAATTTACAAAAACAATTAACCAAAAAGTCGCGAAACATCGGAATCGAATAAAAAAAAAGAGAGATCGGAAAAACTCAGATTCGAAAAAAAATGTGTATTATTTCGGATTCGGAAGAAATAATTGAAGAAGTAATTGTATTTGACTACTGTCAAACCTCATTTATTGACCGTTTCCAACCATCATCTATATTGCAAATCTATTGGCCAAAATAATTTGATCTTACGTCGACCCGGCTGGCCCACAAAGATGCAGGTTGAGGGTCAACCCGCCCATCGACCCGGCTGTTGGGTTGAGGTCAGCCTGTATCACTAATATTATTGTATTAATAAAATATCTACGCGATAGCAAAAAAAAAAACACTGCGCAGGCATTATTTTGAATTTTTTTGAAATTCGCTTAGTTGACCCAAAATAATGCCATAGGTATTTCGAAATAATACACCACTTAAATATACTAGATATATCTAAATAATATATTTCCTGCAAAAACTTTTTGTTAGAGCACTAATGCTAGTTTCTTATGCAGATTTTAGAGAAATAAGCGACTTTTGACAAAACGGACGTTTGTTTTGAATTTTCCTAATTGTGTTACGTACACTTAAACTTGAAAATTGATTCGTAGTTCAGGAAGTTTGCGCCACCAACCCGGCACACATTCACATGCTAAATTAAAAAAAAAAAAAAAATTAGATAGTATTATTAAAGAAAAAAAAAGTATAACACGAACAATGAAATTAAACACCAGTGTAAATATCTATGGATTTGAATAGCTATTTTAAACACTTAGATTATTAAGTCCCGATGTAAATATTCATGAGCTTGAATAATTATTTTAAACACTTAGATTAATGATTCTCTTTATTTTCACCAACAGGCATTCCAACTGAAACTTTTTTAAACGGAAGCGTAGATATATTGAATATGCTTGACAAGTCGATAAAGTATGCCTCATTAGAATTGTTTGTAGTTTACATTGCTCCACCCAAAGGATAAAGCCTATTATTGATTAGAGCACTTGAACGTTCAAATCGACCATCTGGAATAGTATCTACTAAATTAAAAAAATATATATAACAAAATGAAATTAAATGCCTGGTCAAATATTTAAGAACTTAAATAGATATTTTAAACAATTAGATTATTAAGTCTTCTCTGTATTCGCGCACTAAGTTAAAAATAAAAATAAATGTTAGATATTTATAAAAAAAAAAAAAAAAAAAAAAAAAAAAAAGCTTATAGCGCGAACAAAATAAAATAAGTAAATATTCATGAACTTGAATAGTTATTTTAAACACTTAATGTTTTCTCTTCATGCACTAAATTAAAAAATTAAATAAAAATCAGTTAGTATTTATTATTAAAAAATATATATATATAACGCGAACAAAATAAATTAAACATCCAGTGTAAATAATGAATAGCTATTTAGATACTTAGATTATTAAATATTCACTGTATTCGCGCACTAAAATTAATACAAAAAAAAAACGAAATTAAATAGTTACTTTAAACATCTATAGATTAATAAAAATTTTTATGCTTACCTAAATTAATGAAAACTAAATAGTAAAATATTTATAAACCTGAATAGCTTATTTAAGGCAAATTGCTTACAAGACGGTATAAATGATGGCTATAGATGGATCCTATTTTCATATGATAATAGATGCTGCGAATATACTTCAAATATTTAAAACAAGGCTGCCAACCCAATTCTTCGGATCTGTTGCAACGCTAGTTTAACATTTCAAGTACCAAGAGTAGATTCTAATCACAACTAATCTATTAAATAGAAACCATTCGTCACCGTCATATATGTTAAAGTTCTAAGTTGAAATTCCCTGATGCAATAATAGTTTTCCTTTTTTTCTACTTGTCCACTGAAATTTTTTACAATAAAAATGCATATGTTCAATTCTTTTTAATTCTGATTCCATTTTTTACTACCTTTTTGAAAACAAAAAATTATACATATATTCCATCAGGGCCATCTATCTCAGCGGATTTGTAATATTCTCAATTTCAATTTAATTCGATAACAATGTCCATAGCTTTATGTCGCCTGGTTACATTAATTGCTAAATAAAATTAAGTGGTAAGTATTTAAAATGCTAAATTTGAAATTCCAAATAAAAACTTTCACTTTCCGCAGTTTCCTCTCTTATTTCTTCTTGGTTTTATCATTATTAGTCGTTACAACTGTTCCAGCATTACCAACCCAAAAAATTTCGTTATCTGTCAAGTAAAATTTTAAGTTCAAGTGACATAAAAAGTACACATTAACGGCGCAATTTTTTTGTTAGTAACGCTAGATTCCTACGTTGTACATCGTTACTAGATCTTGAATTCTTTCAGGCTTTTCTTATACGCGTCAAGGTCACCCAGGTACATCTAATTTGAACAAAAGATTTGAAGAATATATAATTTAATGATTAAACTATTTATCATATGACCTTTAATATAATGATCATTCGATTCCGGGATCAACGTTACACGAGTATTTATAGAGTTGAAGTACTGTATAGTTGGAGGTAATAAAATATAAAGTTTTTTTATCTGTTATTATTTAAATAATTAAATAATTAACACGTTGATTTTATTACGTATAAACTTTACAAACTGTTTTCGAAAATTATGGGTATTCTCTAGAAGATATTTAATTTAATAGAAGTCGTTTTACATGCATGACAGTTGTTAACTATGTGAAATTTTAATAAAAATATTAATAAGGAACGTGTAACTTATTTTTAAAAACTTTTCTACGAAAATTTCTACACTTGTAAGTTGTTATTTTGACCTGGGTGAATAATTTTATTCTTATAAAATTATAAAATGCAAATCGAAGTAATATATGAATTATGCCCAGTGTTAAAAATTCGGCACAAATATGCTGTGCAAGAAAATTTTTTTATACAGGATATTTTATTTTTTGTGCATCTGTTAATTTTTTGTGCAAGTAACAATACGAATTTTAACACTGATTATGCCTGTTTGATTGGCCAATCTTATTTTTCAAATATATAATTTGCCATATTTACAATACTATATTACATTATAATAAAATTTGTTTAAAATATAATGACAATTCATTTGATCACATGTATTTGTGCAAGCATGTAAAAAATGTATTTGAGGGATGTGATTAACGTAATTAATCGGAAAAATACATGCTTCTTCAGATGTTCGAACTTTATAATATGGGCATTCGAGTACTGAATCCAGAAAGTTCAATTCTTGAAATCTATAAAACTGAAAAAATGCGTAATTATGCCCATCGTTTGCCTGATGAACAAATATTGCCTTAATCTTAGCATAAATAATTCCTTCAGAATTTTCAGCTAATTCTATAATATCACCCACACGAAGCTTTAATCTGATAGGATCCTCTGTTGTGTTAAGAACACTATACGTAATATAATTATAATATTTAAGCTTCTTATTTAATAATGCACTTTTTATCCCAAGATGCTTGGCGTATGACTCAAAAGGCTCCGAAAAAGTGAATGATTTTCGCTCAGTTTATTCGATAAGCCTATACTCGTTAATTTTTTAACACTCCATTGCTCTCTAAGTACAATATTAGTGAAGTTTCTATCATGACAAATTGCATCGGTGTCTATATTTTAAGTGTTTAGTTAGAGTTTGGAACCGGTTATAATGTACACAAGTAAAATAATATTCAATAAGGAACTTCCCTATTGTTCCCAAATTTTGATTTTTAAAAGAGGTTAATAGGATATCAATCAGAGCAATAGTACTCGATAGGTACTAATAAGGTATCATATTGATATCTATTGATACCTTATTAAGTACTATTGCACTGATTGATAACTTATTGACCTTTTTTAGAGCCAAAATTTAGTAGCAATAGAGAAGCTTCTTATTGACCTTATTTTACCTGTGATATATAAACAAAACATTATATGTATGAATCTCGAAATAATAGGATTATTTTGAGTAAGACATAGGCGCTATTTGAAACCAAGCATAGTTAAAACCGGTTCCAAACTCTGTTAAGCATACTATTTTAAGATCTAATTTTCAAAATAATACCCATACCCAATACCTATTATTTCGAGATTTAAATTTATATATTTACCATTTTCTTCATCTTGTGAAAATAAAGGTGGATTTTCTATAGCGTACCAATTTGAAAAAATTTTATGAAGCTTTAAATCCGTAGTAAGATTAGAAAATGTATTGGCAAATTCACCAAATCGGGGATCTTTCCAACCATCAACAACATGTCTCAATGCTTGTCTTACATTATACTGCTGAGTAAGGCTAAGTTCAATAACTTTGCGATTCGTATGCGGAACTATTACTTTGAAAGTGCGATGGACGATCTCCTTTACTCCTACAGCAGTATTTACTAATGTTGCAAAATTTTGAGCATGTTGCAACAAATGTGTGTTAACATGAAGATTAGGTAAATTCGTAAAGTATTCTGGGAATAACTATTTTTAATAAAATTCAATAGTTTAATAAGGCAGTTTATTCACAAAAAAAAAAAAAAAAAAGTTTCCCAACAATAAATTATAATCTATTTTAGTGCTAGTATGAATTTCGTAACCGCAAGTTTATATATTAGGCCTTTTCAAAGTGAATTTACTACGTAGTAGATTTGTAGGTACGAATTTTGTGTTATAATGTATTACCGTTACATTAACCAATGCGCGTGCACTAACTTGGAAGTAAAATAAAAAATATATTATGAGAGCTTCTAAATTTATTCCATCGCATAATATATTTTTTATTTTACTTCCAAGTTAGTGCACGCGCATTGGTTAATGTAATACATTATAATACAAAATTAATTCACTTTGAAAAGGCCCATTATATATATGTATATACTAACTTGAAAAATATAGAATTATTTTACTTTCAAGTTAGTATATGGCATATATAATATGTAATGATTATATGTATTTTAAAAAAATACAACACTTTACCTGAATAAGCATATCACGTTCCTTATTTAGCATTTCTTGTAATTCTTTATAAATATGTTCCGTCATTGTTGTTGAAAAGGCTAGTTTAAGTGTTTTAGCCTCAGTAGTCCAAAGACTACACAATTGTGTAACTGGTTTTTTACTAGAATTTTCTTGCCATTTTTTTAAAATATCCGGTTTAATATAACAAGGTTTTAAAAACCGCCTAAGTATAAATGGCATTAAAATAGCAAGTTTTAAAACATCGGAAAACATAAAGCTTTGCCGATGCCGTAATGGATTAGGCATTCGGCACCAGCAAGCAGGTTTTTCGATGTTTTTCCAGCATGTTAAAAAAGCTTCTTCTCCAGTTGCATTAAATATATTTAATGTAGCATCTAACAAGGTACGGGCTTTACCAGCCATTGCATGGTATATGTCATGTAGAGTTTGTACATGATTATCCCATTTAAGTACACTAAGAGATCCAGAGGTTATTGTCAACCCATATTCGGTAGCTAATTGTTCTTTACCCATCTTTGTTTGTTGATTTTTAATATCAACAAATTGTTTTTCAGTATGCTGTTTAAAACGTGCATTTTCAGCATAATTATAGCTTGGATCAGTAAATTGCTCGATTGAGGCATTGCACGTTCGGCAACCATGAAGAGCATTATGCCGCTTAACACCTGCCAAATCGTTACCTTGCGGTAAGTCTGCAGTGATGCATCCAATGCCACCCACGACCCAAGCATCCCCATATAACGTACTCATTATAAAACCATTTTCTAAACACTGTATGTCCTTAAGCACTGGTTTGATGAAATCATCAAAACTAGTGCCAAATGGAACAAAACCAATAAGAAAATGGTTTTTAAGCAACTTCCGATCTGACTGCAACATGTTACCAATTTGCATATATACACCTCCCAAGGAATGATAAACATTCCTGTATGTGCCGAAATTATCATAATAAATGTCCAAAAATATTTTAAATGTGGGGATTTGCAGTGGCGGTGGCCTAATAGTGATATATTCACAAGGCAATCTATGCCTTTTTGAAATATCACGATATTTCCAACGTCCATTGAAATTATATACTATTTCTTGGACATAATAACTATAAGTTTGGGGCTCCGGTAAGTCACGGAGCCATACAGATATGGGTTTACGAATGTTTTCTGGATCAATAAAGGTAGAATCCCCTTCAACAATCCACAATTCTTTCCCATTACCACGGGTATGTCTATCACTGTCAAATCGGCAATTAGGAAGGTTGTGGTGTTGAAGGAGCCGATCAACTTTTACTTTACAGTCTTTATTAATTTCATTAGTCACAATACTGCGTATGCGACATATAAATTGGAATGATGTTTGGCACAAAACAAAATCTCCTGCTTTATAAGTTACTAATTAAATACAAAATAAAAGGGTGAACCCATAATAAATTTTGGTAAAATCCACTGTGCAGCTAATGTTAGAATAAAATCCATTTATATATAATAATAATATAGGCTACATGTAAAGGTGAATTTTACTCTCAAATGATTTGCATAGCAGATTTTACCAAAATTTATCATGGGTTTCATCCTATAACAATACAATTATTTAGAAACCTTAAAACTATTTATAAATAAATTTAACCCTAAAAACTTTTTAAATCTCATCACTAACCTCCATTATTGCATCTTATCTCATGCTCTCCAAAAAATGGCGAATCTTGCCAAAGATTTCCATGCCAAAATTCACTTTTTTCCTCTCTAAGCACACCAGGTCCAAAATATAACTTGGGCATTATTGTTGGATTATTTAATATATATTCCAAGTGTGCCAGTGGGGATATTGTAAAAGCCTTTTTGGTAGATACAAGTATTGATGGTGCTTTTGCCTGACAAACAGGCACATCATGCTGATGTACTGTAAGCAGAGGTAACCTATATCTCCACTTACGCATACGTCTAATATTCTGGATAACATCTTCTTTGCGAAAACCATCATGGGTAAGAATTTTGACGAGGTCCTCATAAGCACTAGTTGCTACATAATGATACTATATTTGTAAATACACATATATTTACTGTATTTATCTTAGTCCGAAATTTACCCATTTTTGTATTTTAAGTTACATATATCCTGGTGAAACACCGACCCAGATTGGAACTCGTTACTAATAATATTATTAAAAATTTCCTTTTTGAACATTACTTACAGATCATGTGCTTTGTAATCCAAATATATAACATGGAAGACGTAAAATTTGGAAAGTACGGACCGTACTCTCCATCAAAACCTCTAAATTCTGAGGATTTTTCCTCTAAAATTTCATCACTTAATGGGTCTTCTTCTATGATATCAATTAATGGTACATCGTGTATAATATCTGTAAAGTGTGTATTTAATTCCTTGTATAGAAAAAAAAAAGCATAAAATATTATGTATTAAAATATTATATATTAAAATTTTGTAACTGAATAATTAAACAACTATCAATAATAACCTCATCTATCAATGATTCAGCTTCACTTTCTTCATAGTTTTCTTCTTCATAAGCTTCATCAGTTTCATAGTTTTCTTCTTCATAAGCTTCATCAGTTTCATTTGTCACTTCAGCTTTATTAATTTCTTTATTAATTAGAATTAAATCATGTTCCTTAGGAGAGAATGCATTCGCTGGAATATCCACATTATCAAAATCTATTATGCTTATTTTTTGGGACGTCTCTTGAACAATTTCAACATCAAATGGCTCCTTTTTATGTCTTTTTTTGCGTAACTTTGGTACATCAGTACAGCGGGAAGGATTGGTAGTTCTACTTGATCGTTTCATAAAGTAAACTAAGTTAAAAATTATATTTTAAGGTTGTTGAAAATTTATTTCGTAAATAATTTGCAGTTGTTCAAAGTTAATTCAGAATTACATTAGGATTAATGTGTATTAATCTGAGGCAGATATTAATTTGCCATTAATTTGATGTCCATAAAATGACGTGTAATATTGTAATAAGATTACTATATTCTGGAGGAAAGCTTACACGTAATAATACTTTAAAAAGTGATGTATAATATCAAACATGGTATATATATGCTTTTGTAAGAAGTTTTTTGTTATTAAATATTACTATGTCTCCTAGAAAAAAATCCGCATGTAAGTAGATAAATAATATTTGAAAATTTTTTTAAGATTTTTATTAAATATAATAATATTTTTTATAGCAAGAAATAAAACACCAGTATCGCCTAAAAAGATAACTCCAGTTAGAATTACACGCGGTTCTATTAGTATGTTATTTGTTTGTTAATATACATGCACTCATAAATTCATATCGTTACAAGTGAGCATGGAAGCAATAGCAGAAATAAATATGTATTTACTGATTTATAATGCTTTTCTTGATATCACGGGGTAAATAATACATATCTAGATTCGGTTTCCAAAGCATCAGCTTCGTCCCAGAAAAAGAGGCAAAGAACTGAACAACCAGCTGTGGAAATTATTAGTGATAGAGAGAATAATTTAGAAGATATTAGTTATGAAGAGGCGTCAAGTATGCATTATTTGTGTGAATTAGATAATTTCCTAAATATAATCTAATAATTTATTTATATTTAAATTTAGATGCTCTAAATTATGCTGCCAATGGTACTATTTTTTATATTAAAAAAGATTGTATATGGGTCAAATTTTGAATTTATTAAATGAACTTATAATATTGTTTAGTTAATGATTCTGATTCTCTTCATGAGTTGACAACCAAGGAGGCTTCACATATTGCAACATCTTCAAAGTCTATAGTCGAAGATACTGTGATGGTGCTACCTTCACCTTCAAATTCAAGTGTGGAAATGGTAACTTTAATAGCAACATCACATATAAGTAAGAGTAAGAATTATTTGTTTTAATATAGCTCATTCTAAAGCTACATATGGATAACTTTGCAATATTTTATAGATAATGAAAGTGATTTTGAAAAACATAATTTACCTCAAGAAACTCTTAATAATTTACCTCAAGAAACTCTTAATAATTTACCTCAAGAAACTCTTAATAATTTACCTCAAGAAACTCTTAATAATTTACCTCAAGAAACTCTTAATAATTTACCTCAAGAAACTCTTAATAATTTACCTCAAGAAACTCTTAATAATTTACCTCAAGAAACTCTTAATAATTTACCTCAAGAAACTCTTAATAATTTACCTCAAGAAACTCTTAATAAT